GGCCGCTGTTCCCCACCACGCGCAGCACGCTGTGATCCGACACGCTGAAGTCTAGGCACTGATACAGGAGGGTTTTCCCGGAGGCCATTGTGTTGTTGAGGAGCGCAAAAACAGAGTGGTCGCAGACACTGAGGATATTTAATTGGAACAGGTGTGTGTATCCATCAAAGCTGCAGTACCGCACATACAGCGAGCTGCCACGCTCCAGCGTCAGCTTCCCGATCGAGTACAAACCATACCCGCTATGATCCAATGCATGCGCCTTGACGTTGCTGACCAACAGCGAGGACGCAGACAACACGACGTCGTCCAGCGTCACTACGCTCAACCTTTTGTTCGCGGTGTCGGGCCAGAAAACAATAGAAGACTGCACCGCGTCAACCTCCGTGACGGCGATGTCACACTGTTGCGGGAGGACGAGTGAAAACAAAACGACGGAGGACCGCATCACCGTCTGGCTCACGCGGATCAGGACGCCGGCTGACTCGGCCGCCTCAGCACCACCAACAAACTGCAGCGCGGCACCGCCACGGAATTTGCACCCAGTGAGCGTGAAGTTGATGGAGAGATGCAGCGGCATACTGTTGAGAGAGAACGTCAGTACTGCATCCACGCCGCTGAATGTCACACCCACGTAGCAGTGGTGCGTCTTCCACATGTTCAGCGTGAGGCTCGTCAGCGTCTGGTTCACCACACAGCTTGTGTCGCCGTCAACGGCTCTCTCCGCTACGGGTGGCACAACCGCGTCGGGCACCTCGAGGGGAAGACACGACGCGCCATGCCATCCGTCCTTGCAGCTGCACGAGCACGAGCCGCGGTCCACCGACTCCGTCCCGGGCATGTAGCACGCCGCGTCGTCGTTGCATGTGAAACACCCGAAAAACAACACTGCCTCAGGAAAAAAATCGTTGTACGGCACCTCCTCATCACCCTGCAGGTTGCACCCAACCACAAACCGCGCGAATGACGTCACGACAATGCTCGATGGGAAAAAATTGGCGAAGAAAACACTCGAGTCCACCTGACGGTTGTATGCAAGCACCACGGTGGTGCCGCTGCCCGACAGCTTAATTTTCTGCTGGGAATACGAAATACTCAATACTGAGGCGGCACTTACGTTGTTGCCCTCCACACGCCACTGCGCTCCACCCTCGAGAGTCACAGAGCCAGAAAAATACACCAGCGTGGCATCAAAAAATTCCTTCCTGTAAAAGGAGGTGCAGTCCGCCACTCGCAGCAGCCCCGCGGAGCTCACGGTGTTCTCATCAGAAAAATAAATGCCATTAACGGTTCTCATCGTGTTGTTCTCCACGTCAAAGTAACCGCCGTTCTTCACGTCAACAGCATGAACGCAAATGGCTGATTCCGCACCATTATTCCCCGCTGTCCTCAGTACATTTCCCTTCACAATGATCCCGCCACCATCAACAACAACAACAACGGGGAAATAAAGTGCGTACCTATTCCCCTCAATGCGGTTGTCAAGCAGCAGCAGCGTCGAGGTCGCACCGAAAGAAAATTCCGGAAAGGCAATGGCGTGGCTCCACGTCGTCACAAGCGTACTGCCCGCCACCAGTATCTGGGAGCTCCCACCAAAATGGCCCCTAAACTCCAACGCTCCAGAATCCATCATCGAGGATGTCACGTTCACGTGCACTCGCGCACCACTCCCTCTGATCAACAGGCCCATGAGGACGCACTGCAGTAGCGTGATGTTGAGTGACTGTTGTGATGCGTCAAAATACAACAGGTCCAGCACGATCGCGGCAGTGAAGGTCACGTTGACGAAGCACAGACCACGCACACCGGGATCAGGATTGTCCACGGAGCTGATGCTGCCACCGTGCACGCAGCGGACCTCCGTGTCATTCGCATCGGGGAGCGGGAGCGGCCCAAGACCGTCCGGAACCGCAGCTGGCAGACACGTGTCACCGTAGCCGCCAGCAGCGCACACGCACTCACAGCCGCTGATGCTGCTCGTCCTCGCCGCAAAGCACACGGCGTCCACGGTGCACGCACCACAGTCTAACACCGTCACGGGTGCTCCAATATTGAGCTAGTCTCCGTAATTCGTCACAGTTGAGCCCCTTGCCTCGTTGCACATGCCGTAGATGGTCGGGCGCGAGTCGGATGGCGGTGACCAATCGTTTGTCATGTGTGCAATGGTCGACGAGTACGAGCCGTACGTGAAGTTGTTGTCAAGTATCGACCACACACTCCGATCGCGGAACGCCACGCCGTTCTTGTTGGCCACGTACACAACGTAGGCGGTGCGAAACTCGTTGTTGCGGTGCACCAGCCAGCTGCCGCCAGTCACGGTCAGCGTGTTTGCCATAAGCATGGCGAAGCCGAGACGGAAGGTGCTGGACACGATCTGCAGCACGCTGCCGCCATCCACAACAACATCCCTGAACACACACGCGTCTTCGTAGTATTCGATGCCCAGCGCACTCCACGAGCTGTTCTGTATGGAGAACACGGAGCCGCCGCTGACACGCAGGTCCGACGCAAGATCGTACATCACGTGCGTCCGCGACATGACAGCGCAGTTGTCCATGTAGAAGACGCTGGACAGGTTCACAACAAAGCCACGCTCCACGAGGATCGCAGCGCAAGAGTCACCGCCATACACCAGCGTAGACCGCGTCATGACAAGCCACGTCGACAGAAGCCGGACGCCGTCCAGCACAAGCGCGGGGCCGTACCGGGATTTCTCGTGGCCAGGGGTAGTCTGCACGTACTGCGACCCACCAACCGTCGCACGCAGCTTCGAGTTCGCCAGCAGCACACTCGAGTGCAGCGGCATCGCGCCATGCAGCACGATCGTGCCCTCCAGCGACGTCACATTCGTCATGTTGACGAGGGCGTGGAGCACCAGGCGCGCCGTGCTCTCGCCGAGGCCACCAATCCGCAGCTGCACGCCGCCCGCAAGCACGCAGTGGCGCAGCGTCACGTTCAGTGCGTCAGCGAACGCGTCCATCGAGCGCAGGTCCACCGCCACAGTGATCGGCCCGCTGAACACCACCGAGTCGAATTACGCCGTCGCACGCCCGCCGCCAACCGTCACCGACTCCGTCAGCGTCACGCCACTCACGCAGTCCTGCGCACCGCCACCACCACCGCCACCGGACCTCGCAGGCGGCACGTCGAATGGCAGTCACGCCTCGCCCACACAGTCGGAGAACGACGCCGTCAGCGCATCGAAGCACGCCAGCGCTGCCGCACAGCCGTCGCACGGCACCACGCTCACGGAGGGCAGGCCGGCCAAGCGGTAGTCGCCGCTGCTCTGCAGCACCCGGCCGCCCGCACGGTTGCACTGCACCGACACGGCGCCGCTCGTGATCGCCAGCCCGGAGACAAGCGTAGCGCCAGTGGCAGTGCAGCGCGCAATCGACACGGCGCCGCCGCCCAGCGTCACCCCCGACAGCGACGCCACTGACGACGCCTCGCCCACAACCCACACGTCGTGCAGCTCCAGCCACCCGCCGACACCGACCGTCCCACCGTCGCAGCGCACCAGCGACGACGCAACAGACCCCTCGACGCGCACGAAGCGCAGCACCGAGTCGGACACCGCAAGGCGCTCTCCGAGCACAATGCCGCCGCCGCTGCTCACAACCGACACGTTCGTCACGGAGAACACCGAGTGGCTCCGCAGACTGAGGCGCGACAAGGACGCCAAACGCAACGCGGACGCGGTCGGACCGCCCGACGCCTCCAGCAACACGCCGTCAAGCACCACCGCGCTCGACAGCAGGTCCACGTCGCCGCCAACGTACACCGCAGACCCGCCCACCTGCGACGACCTCAGCACAGTGTTGCTCACACGCAGCTGCGACTGCAACAGCGACGTCGCGTGCAGCACAAGCGGCGACGTCACCGCGTCCGTCAGCCCGCTCAGCTGGAAGTAGCGCATCGACCCCGCCGTCACAATCGTCGAGTCGCGGACCGTCACGTTCGTGTGTGCCGGCAGGTTGTGCACAAACACAAGCGAGCAGTAGCCGCCGGACAGTCCGTTCACGCTCACCTCCAGGCTCCGGTCACTCGCCGGCTCGCCGCTGTAGCCCCGCACGTAGAGCTGCGCACCGCCGTCGCACACGCAGTTCCTCAGTTCGATGCGCAGCGCGCCGGGAAGCATCGCCGCAACGTCGAAAACCACAGCCACGCCGTTCGTGACGGACACGTCGTCCATCAGCACCGTGTCCACGGCGCGGCCAACCGTGATGGCTCTGTCCACCGTGCCGCCCCGCAGTCGCAGCACCACCGCATGCACCGCGGACATCCACGCCGCCGCCGCAACCAGCGCCAACACCACAAGCAGCGCCACACGCACAACCGCAATGGCCCTGCACCGCACACGGTGCCGGCTGTGCGGACACGCGCCCACCGCATACCAAATCCCACGACCCAAACAGATAATAAAAGGGCTGTTGTGTTGTGTCGCACTCGCCCCGTCGAACGTAACTCCCGTCTGGCAAATCCTTTTATACAGATCGCGAATCCAGTGACACAATTCCGCCAGATCGTTTTCCCACTACTAGTAATCCTAATACAGCAAGTAATCCCCAACACCTTGAAGCGATAGTTGTGCTGATCAAGCAAAAGTACCTCTAACTGCTCGGTCAGAGGGGGAGAAGGCAGATACAACAGCAAATAAACACAGTGGCACGCAAAGGCATCTGGCCACAGACAGTCCTCATCACAGTACAACCACCGATAAAAAAAAAGCACAGACGCAGTCAGGCCAGTGATGTCACCGCCCTCCCACCGCCCGCGCAGCCCCACACAACCACCATGCAGAGTGGCGGGATCCCAGCAAAAAGACACATGACCATTGGCACCGCTCCTGCAACCAAATGTTTCTACCACAGAGCAGTCCTGATGCCGCGAAAGGCACACAAGGACCGAGACAGACCCACGTGGCGGCGTTACAACCGGCAGCCATCGAGCGCGTCCAAGGATGTAATGGTGACACGGGAGAGGAGTGGAGGAATCGCCGTTTGCCGGCAGTTAAGGCGGCGTTCCTCGCTCACGTGGGTCGGCATTGCACAACAAACAGCGGCATCATAAGCGCACACGGCACACACAAGAAGGACGAATGAAGAGGTACAGTGGCGGCACTCAGACACGGGGGGACAAGGGTCCATGTCGATCGTGTGGTCAGTGCCTTCCTTCTCCCACTGGGGCGCCACTTCACCAACGCTGTCGCTCACTCACTCCCCCACCAACACAACGAGGGAGAAGCAACAGCAGGAGATGCGACACGTGCGACGAGCACACAGCCGCAGAGCCTCACTGCTGCCGCCATTACCAAACAAGGCTGACTGCTGGGCGCAAAAAGAAGGGTAAGCACCTCACCAAACGTTTTAGCATCGCGTGGAAGAACGGCAACCGACACAAAAGGCAAAGCACCACGAAGCACGGTGCCAAAGCCAAAGCTCCTCCAAGGAATTCATCGTAAAGCAAAATAAAATATTATGCAAGCGCAAAAAAAAAAGGAAAAAGGCCGATGCAGAGGCAATAAATGGTCTTGGTGCGCAGCGGCCGTGGCATCGCACCCTTCCCTCATCTAACGGCATCGCGCCACAACGCACCGTAACGACAGCGTGCAATGACGACGATGGAGTAGCACACACAAAGCGGCATAAACCTTTCATCCTGTAATTGCGCAAATTTATGCTCTCAGTATGTACTGCCAACGACACAGGGAAGGACACGGAAGGGGACTGTCCTATCATCCACCTTCTGCCCACAACAGACCCTCCCCATCCTCCTCCTCGCCACGCCCTGGGTGCCGCAAAATGCCGTCAAGCAAGGCCAATTGTATGGAAGTCCCCAATGCGCGGGCGGGGCTGGCAGCCACCCACGCTCACTCCCCCGCACACATTTCCCCTCCCACAACCTTCCCATACACAACAGAGCAAAGACATGGCGAAGCGAATCCCGCCGCACAACGCACGCAGAAGCGCCGCCATCCACGCCGCACCGCAAGATAGAGCCATGCGCACAGCACACACACCGCCGCAACGAGATGGACGGACGCACCCAAGCCCACGGCGCTGTCCTTCAATTCCCTCCGCCCCAACGGATTGGAAGTACGCCCACAGCGGGTTGTGGCGGGTGGCGTCCCACACCCACAGTGAGGCACGGCGCACACCATCTGCTCCCCTCCAAGTGTACTCAGCAGGCCGGGCCAAGGCGCCCAGTCAATCTCCTGCCATCGCAAAGGAACACAAAAACAATCGTCGCCGGTCATCAGTGCCTCTAGAAGAAAAAAAATGGGGGCATGTCAACAGCACAGCCAGCAGAGAGACACTAAAAGGGACACGGGGAAAAAAAGCGGGAGTGAACACGGCACAAAAAAAAGCCGCAGACATTTACCAAAAGAAAAAAAAAAAGAAACGGAATAAAAAAATAAAACATAAGGAAAACAAAATTGGATTGCTCCACCAGCCCACACAACATCACTCACTTTTCGTGCGGCATCCGGCCTGTTCTTCCACTCCTCCTTTTGTGCATTCCGTGGGAGGCGCAGCCGCAGGGCCGGCACCGCGTGTGGGCAACAGAAGCAAACAAGAAGGGGAGACACTTCACTCATGACAGTGTGCAGCAACCAAAAATTAAAGAAGGGAAAAAAGAAAAAAAAAGAATTACTGAGTATTACAACAAAACACTAAAAATGAATAAATAAATAAATAAAAGAACCCGCGAGGAACGCGGCACACAATCTCCGTGAGGACTCGCAATTCCACACTCTTCGGATCAGAAGAATGCCACAAATGCACACAGTCCCAGAGGTAGCAGCAACGCCCGGGAGACGCAGACACGCGCAGTGCTGTCACCACCTAAATCATGCAGGATCAATTTCGCGTCGTTAATCAGGGCGAGGCAGTCGTCCAGGCTCATACTTCCCTCGGATTCTGAGCCAGTGGTTTCTGGAACGTAGCTGTCATTTTTAGCGGCAGTGCGTGGACTCAATTCGTCCGTAACATTCTCAGCACTCGATTCACTGCCCGCAAGAACACGGACAGAACGAGAGTCTGCCGGCTGTGCAATTGGAGCCTCTTCAACGTCTGCCAAGGAAGTCGTCAGCTGTGTGGCCGTCTGCAGTGTAGCAGCCGGCTGTGCGTCTTCCTGCGTTGTGGCCTCCCGCGTTGCAGCTGCCAGCTGTGCAACATCCAGCTGCCTGACCTTCTGCTTTTTCTTCCTCCGTCCCTGTGACCTCCACCGCAGCGTGCAGTTCTTCGGCAGCCGGATGTCGAATAGGAACTGTCCCGGCGTTGAGGTTTGCTGAGGTCATCACCAAACAGCGCGTCGTTGTGCAGAAGGACATCAGCCACCGTCACATGGCTGCCCTCTTCATCTTCCTTATCGCCTGCACCAAAGAAGTGTAAAATCCTGCGTGAACCAAACGCATCAGCATTACGGAGCCTAGCCACTTCCTCGGCACCCAGTTCACCATCATCCGTCTCGTACATTCTTCTCCCACTAGCGTACAAAAACCATTCTTCAGCGCCATTCTTTTGCACCGTCACTCGAATTGCTGTGTTTGTTCCCCAATTACCAACACCACCAGACAGCTTCACCAAAAAATCCTTCTTGTGAAGTGTGAGGTTCAAATTTCCTTCACTCGTCCACGAGAGCTGAACGAGCGCCGTGCCGTCTTTGTCGTTCAGCCTCGCACCAATCAAAGGAATGGGGCTGCTGCTTGCCTCCGGCACCTCGTGGATGGTCACCGTCGCCGAAAGAGTGAACTCGTTGTTTGTAAAGCAGTACAGCACAGTCTGCCCCATGCTGCCAACAGGCCACTGCGCCCCTGCTCCCTTGAGCGCCACACCGCTCTCCGTGCTGGTCACTCCGCCCGTCACTGTGGCATTCACGCCGAGGTACTCGTCCCTCCATGCAGTCCCAACCAGTGCGCTGGAAAAAAAAACCAACCAGCCCCTCAGTGAGAACTCCCAAGGCATTGTCCAATTCTTTCCATTTCTCCACCGCAGAATTTATCCGCTCCAGCTGCTCAGTCAGGCGCATGGCAACAAGAGTGTAATGACGCTTCACCATTCCTTGTCGCGTACAGTAAAATCAGCTCATCCTCACTTTTCACCAACAGAGAACTGGCGGCAGCGTCATCTTCACGAGATACCGGCCCAACATCATACACACGTGCATGGTCCGACACCCAAAGCTGAAGCCGATCTTCTCCACTTCTATTTTCCTTTGCGGCATACACCGGCGTGACCACGAGCATCACCTTCTTTCCCTCAATGGTTGCGGTGGTGAATCCGCTCTGGACGCCGTACCCTGTTCGACCACGTGAGCTGCCCCACATACGATTAATTGACTCAACCTATGGATACCAAGCCGCCCATTCCAAGTGGGCCTGTAAACGTCATAGTAGCCTCCATCACAATGAGCCATCATGAAGGGTCTGTTTTCCTCCCACCCCAAAATGGATGGATCCCTGCAGCCGTTACCAGTCGTCTCGGATGAGAGCTCCCATTTCTTCTCTGACGGGATAAGACGCATAGACAGCAAAACGCGCCGTCCATCCTTCTCTTTGGCCTGCATGGGAAACATAGGCGTACCGTCATTCATCACAGCACCCGAGCCTCCGCCACCCACAAACTCGGTCAAGGAAAGAGATGCTCCTTTGCCTTGAGGGTTCACCACATGGGTCTCATTCCATCCGATTTTCTTGTTTCCACCCTCATCAGCGACAGTTCCCTTCACGAGTAAAAGGCCCCGCTCATTCGTACCTTCAACCTGCGGCTTTGTATGGCCGTAGTTTCCCAGGAGCATGTAGACACTCTCCCCAATTACAAGTGTCGTTGGTCGCAACAATTCCGTTGTCCCAAAATTATTCGCGGCGGTGTCCCCAAGTTGCATGCAAAACAAACTTCTATCCGACGTCGAAATATCCATTGAGTCATCACTTATATCCAGGTGCTTTGAGACAATCCCAGCACGGCTGTCGGCTCCATTCCTTTCCCTGCACTGCGCTTCAGAAACGGCAAATACATCATCACCCACTTTAACGAGGATAGGAACACGGAGCGAGGTGATTTCCCTGCCGTCCTCCTTAAAATCCTTCCAATTAGCAAATGATATCGGCGTCGTCCCTGTAAAAGGATCAATGGTATTTCTTGGATTACTTCCCTCAGCGGCCGCAGCTCCACAGTCGCAGCAAATCATCAACAAAACAAGTACAAGCAGCAGCATCGCGGAGGTAAACACACCCCGCGACATGTTGGGCCTCTGCAGCTCACCCTCTCTTCCTTCCCTCCTCCTTCCGCTGGATCCGGTCACGCGGCGACGGTTGTGTGTGCGGGGTGCGTTCACTGCAGCAACACGTGAGAGCATACAAATATGTGTGTGTGGGTAATGTGTGTGCTGTTGGTACTTTCAGTGCCTTCGAATTCCAAAGTAACGATTAGCGTTTGGTTGCTTTCTTTCCTAGCGTGTCTCTGTTCAAGAAGTGGTGAAGAAAACAACAGCGGCAGCACATCAGACACGTCACTGGGGTGCCGAGCAGGGCACCCACGCAGAGAGCGGGACACGAAACAATCCGGAAGGGACGGCACGGAGAATCATCGCACACAGAAAAGAGCAGCAACAACAACACGGCGGAGCACGGCGGAAGCCAACACACACACACACACATGGACGCGGAATTTCATCATTCGGCGACGCCATTCAAAGTCCTGCCGAAACAGTCCGCAAGTGATAAAGTGATCAGTCACACGCTCCCGGTGGACTGCCGCGGCAAGAACGCGGACACAAAAGGAATTATGTGCACAAAAGTGGGTGGCACCAATTCACAGCACCGCCACACGACACTCGCTCTCTCGGTCCATCCCACGCCCCGCCTCAAAAGGCAGCGGCAAGCACCAATCAACAAAATAATGAAGCGGGAAAAACAACTTCCCTGCAGGCCCTTCAGGACTCTACAGCAACACCACCAACAGGAGCGTGCAGCCCTCTGCTTGCAGCAGTGCAGGCCTCTTTGCTCCTGGCCTCTCGGGGCGTTGAACACCTCCCCGACCATCTCGCGCTCACAAAGCAAGCCGC